TACCAACGATTGTTATTCTCAGCTTCAGCAATTTTATGAGACGTTGACAACATTAACGAGAGATATACAGACATTAAGTGACGACTCGATTCGTTTAAGTACAGAATCATTGCGTCATCAAAATCAGCTACAAATATATCAGAATGTAATAAGCCAACTCAGAGAATCAACAGCGCAGTTAGACTCGTATACTACCGGTATTTCACCTAACCACGAAATATTGCAACAAGAAATTTCAAGCAGAAAGTCGAGGATTTACAATCAATCTCCTATGATGGAACTTTCAGTTGGAAAATAATTAACATCTCAGAACGAATGGCCGATGCTGAATCAGAAAGACAGACAAGCATCTATTCACCACCATTTTATTCGTCACCAACCGGCTGCAAAATGCGAATTCGACTTTATTTACAAGGCGATGGAAATGCTCGACGAACACATATGTCTCTCTTCTTCCTGATAATGCGCGGTGAATACGATGCTATTCTTAAATGGCCATTTAATTTTAAGGTGACATTTTGTTTATTTGATCAATCAGGACAACAAAGACACGTTATTGATTCGTTTCGCCCCGATACAAAATCGAATAGTTTTCAGCGCCCTCGTAGTGAAATGAACATTGCTAGCGGTATACCAAAATTTTTTCCATTACCAATGATCTTGCAACATGATAATAATTATGTCAAAGATGATACCATGTACATTAAATGCCTGATTGATTTTGGCGACATATCGAAGATAATTCTTCCCTACGCTCTCAGTTTAAATCCTGCATTACCTCATCAGGTTCAGCGAAATATGATTCAAGCAGAAACCGAGCGACGAGTCCAGCTTCAACAACAATCGACACCTGCTACCATCACAACTATTAATAGCACTAACAATAACTTTTGATGATCATAAATCAGCTTAAGGGTACCTCTCCATCTTTTTCTTACGAAAGTATTCAAATGACCTGGAAAAGTACCGTGTGTACAAAATACGCTTTTGTCGCTATATGTTTTTTCAAAGATCCTTTCGATCCCTCAAAACTCCCTCTCTACAAAATGGTCTGATCGAACTGAAATTTTCACCACAGATACCTTAAACCCTATGTTCTACATTTTTTTAACATTTTCGATTTTAACTATGGGCATGAAATGGTTTTTGAAATGGTAAAGAAAATTTTAATGTAGGAGTTTTAGAATATCTCGAAAGAAAAGAAGTATGTTCTCCTATTGGTTTCCTAGAAAACCTATCGAAGAACATGTCAGAACTCTGTACAAAAATTCATCGATCTTCTTTTCCGATATTCTATTTCTGGTATAAATTTCGAACATCAACTTCTCTGAGTTGCAATTGAGTCAAAAAAGAGACGGGATACCCTTAATAATAATAATATGATCATTGCATAACCATTCGAATGTGAATGACGATATTCACAGTTAATATATTCAAGAAGAAGAATTTTCTTATTGTTAAAAAGAACTTTGATATTAATAAACACGATTATAATCAACTAATCAAAACTCTCTATGACTTTCAACGTTGATCATATTGTACAGCTTATATTAATAACGAGATGTGTGTTGTGAGCAAACAACTTTTACTCATTTTGATATAACTAGAACACATATAGTAGTCTTATTTAGTATCGTGTCGTGATTTATTAAAACAATCAACTTCACCTGAAACTCCTGAAGTCTTTGTCCGAGATACTCAGAATTTGCTGGTACTCTCAGTTCTGCTGTCGAACAGGTGAATTCCGATCTCTTTAGATATGTCTTAGTTGCTAATCCTAGCTGCTTGTGTGGTAACAGAGGTGGGCCAGTCCAGTCCGGACTTGAAGGTTTTTTTGACGGGCTTGAACTTGATTTGGACGTGGAGATTTTTTATCAAGTCCGTTTGAAGTACAAGAAGTTAAAATCTTTTGAATTCAACAACGGAATGAGTATAATCTGATATCTAATTTATTCATCTTTTTTCTTCAAACATGCATCAATGTATCGAATAGATTCAGCAATGTAACAGAAGAGATTCAAGGTCCAGTTTAACATCTGAAATCCTGTTAGAGAACTGTGCCACTATATTTTGTCTTTCCTTGTTGTCATTAGGACACTCAAAAAAAGTGGTAAACAGTTTCTCTTATTAGACTATTACATTCACAAGAAGGCGACAGTAGTGAATATCAATATCTCTTCGGCTGATTAAAGATAATTTTGAATTTGACCATAAGATTGCAGCTATGGAGAACAGATCCCGTATTTCATATAGTACTAACTACTATTTCGGTTTTTTCTCTGCTCAAATGCAATTACTCTTCAGTGTGTTACATATAGAATGTTGCCGGGAAAAGTGCTATCGAGTGGTATATGATAGATGTGATTAACTGTGAAATGGAACGACAAAACACAGTAAATACGATTTCCACTAGGTGTCGGGTCGAGAAAATATTCAAGTGATAAAATTTCTCTTGAGAAGAAGTTCTAAAGTTTCGAAGATGCCAAGTTCGATTCCACTACCCGCACTGTATCTACTCTATGAATAAAACTAAATTCGGTTAACGGGCCGATTTCATGACAGAATGGCCCCCTCCTTTATAGTTGCGTGCGCTGTTTGCCTAAACTTATCGAGCGGCACATCTTTCCACGGTAGTCGTCGACGCATACGATTGAACTGATACTCATTGTCATCGTATGATATGTAGACAATATCAAATTTTGTTTTCAAATCATCACTTAACTGTTTGTATGTATCAGTAACCTTTCGTGTAAGATGCTGCGAATTTATAGGGTGACGGGCGCTATAACATACCAGAGTGTTTATTCACTGTTTCTTTTAAACTTAACCACGCAATCGATCCATTTACGGTATTTTCAACTCTACATATAAATCTATTAGGTTTCCTTCTACTTTGTTGGAAAGTGCTGGAATTCACCTTTATTTTACTGAGGACATCTACCGTACAAACGATTGTATACTATCGATACCTTTCTTGTTCCTGCGAGACAAAACTTCGGAATTGTGGTAGAGAAACGTTCCTCGTAAGCAGAAGTAGTCTTACCCAAAACATAATACAATAGTTTTATTCTTTAAATTATTTGAATCATAATCGGTTGTGTCAGGACCAACATTCAATAACCTTTGATAGTCACTATATAAACCTAATCGATTCAATATTACTCTGATTATGAACATAACTTCTAGAAAACAAAAATGACATAAGCACATCACTATAAAGAAAAAATAGGAGCCAGAAAGGTGACTGTTTGTCTCAAAAAGATATCAAGTTATACTCTTTAATAAATTGTAATTTTTAATATACTTTTATTCGTACAAATATTACATTTAACAGCTAAACGTCGAAACGTTTCGCTGTTAAACGTAATATTTGTACATAAAAGTATATTAAAAATTACAATTATTAAACATTTATGCTGTATTCGTGTTGAAATAACGCAGTAATAAAACTTGTAAATATATACTCTATTATAAGAATATCGTATGATAAAATCGTATGATAAAATCTTTCATGATAAAATCGTATCCAACTGAATCATCCACATTTTCACGAAAGTTAGGAAATATCAATAAACGTGTAGATGATTTCTAGTTATTTGTCGGTGTTATATCAGCCCCATATAGCTGTTCCAAATACCGATAAAAGAAATGTTCTGCACAATGACCAATGTGTTCTTGTTCGGTTGAGTCAAAAATCATGGGCATCGCTAAATGTTCTTGATTGGTGTTAAACAATAGTCCATTACTCAATGTTTTTAGCTGATGTTCGGATTGTTTTTGTTTTTGTTCTAGTTTTATTACTAAATCTTGAGCACGGGCTTGGTATACCTGATCCTCAGCAACAAAATCAATTTTTACATGATTAGTTTTTGGATGGCAATTAATTTTTCTTTGTTCAGTTTCGTCAAATAGACTGCCATTATCTGTTGTATCGGTGCCAAAATGCTTTCCAAGTGAAATTGGATTCTGTGTAAATGATTCATGATCAATGGGAAATAAAATATGTGTATAGTTATATTTATCTGTTTTCCCATCAGCTTCTGACCAAATATCAGTGGAGTGGAACGATGTACATAATTGTATTTTTTCTCACGTTATTACTTTTGCTTCGTCTAACAATAAATGATTTCGTTTGTGCAACAGAGTGGTTAGTGCTGAAACCGCAACAGTTGCTTTTCCTTGAATATCTTGGATAAATCTACTACATAAAACGATTGTATTATTAAATATCCAAAATGGATAATCGATTTCTAAGTAATATCGATCAACAGTACTAACGTAATCGACGTTATCAACAGTTAGTACAGTACTGTCCGATAAACAATGACAAATTGAAGTATAACTAGCTCCAATCACTTGTAATGTATTGTCTTTTAATGTTTCTTGAAATATTTTTGTTAATTGTTGCAATGTGTATTCAAGATTATTTACTGCATGACTCCATGCTATTAATCCTCGTCTCTCAACATAATCGACATTTAATGATGCCATTAATAATGGACAATATTTTGTTATAATTGGAGAGATGAATCGACGAATACTATTATCTTTTACAAAATTTTGAATTAAATTTAATTCTGAACAAGAATAAACAATATTTATTGGACTGGCAACAAGTTGTTGATCAACAGTTAGCGATGGAATAAAACATTTTTCATCAAGCGAAGTCATTTCATACGTATAATATTTTATTCTGTTTATTTCACTTTGAGTAGGCAATAGTGCTTTTAGTTCTGTATGTGATGCCATTAATTGAAATCGCCAATTCCAATCATCTTTACTACCATATGGTGCATTCATATTCCGTTGATTGACTATTTGACACAGTTCTGGATGATATTTTAAGATCGTTGATAATAGCAATGTTTCCAAATACTGTAATAAAATCGAAACATTTTCTCTTCCCATTTCAGTTAAGATTATTGTACAATCACTTATTTGATAAAAATTACTTTTATCTAAGCTCATCAGTTGTAAAATAGCAATTACGTCTGCTATGGTTGATTGATAATGACAACCAAGAGTTATAAATAAGGTTTTAAATTGCCAGTATCTACTATTAAAAGTAAGTGAGATACATTCATAACCTAAATATTTAGTAATAATTTTTACTTCTTCTGTATACAGTCAAACAAGATTTTAAATTGATTTCAATACAAACACCTAATAAATTTGCTAAATGGCGTGTATGTACAGGAATATCTAAACTGGGTAATAGTTCTAAACCATTGATTAATGTTTGATCATATGTTGCTGAAACAGGACTCACCATTTCATTTGAACATAAAATTGGAAATTGTTGTAATGATACTAGTATTTTCTCTGACTGATAGTATAAAATTTCTTCAGCTAATTTAGCCGATACACATGAATAAGAGGTAAACGATGGTAAATTGGAAGAGTATCTAATAAATGTTTGTCAGAAATGTACAATATTGATGGTTTACATCCAATTTGTATAAAAAAGAGTTCCCATTTTAATGTATCTTGTAAAATATCTTCATCATCTAATGGATATGGAAAAATAATTGCCTTCTCATTTAATCGATGAAGATATTTCGATATATGACGACCTAATATAGTTGGTATTGTTACATTTTGAGCCGAATGCAAAGTATTATTTTGAATAGGTATTAGAATAGAATTGTATAATTCATTTTATAATAGACGCTTTAATTCTTCAATATTTTTTCTTAAATAAATTAAATCCATCCAAATTAAATTCATTTTTGATCCTTTCTGTTCTATGTTGGCAATTTGTAAATGATCGTAAAGAATAATTTTGATCATATACTCATTTGTTAATAATTGAACTAGATTTAGATCTAACAAAACTTTACATTCAAATTTTGATCGATAATTTAAGATTAACAATTGTGGTTTCCACATATCTTGAAGATCGTTATTATCAGTAATAAATAGTTGTAAATCTGTTGGAAGATACTCACGATGGTATAATTTTGTATCAACTAGACGTAGTAAAAATAATGGTTTTTTACTCATTAGTTTCATAAGATTCCGATCAATCATTTTCTCTGTTTCAATAGCGATTGATATTTGTTGAAATAATAAAATCCACCATTCATTTTCTTGTTGTTGTGATCAGTTTTTAAAATCATTTCGAAACATATTTGTTGTATCATAATTATCAGGAAAACAATTTACTATATCTATGACTGATACTGTTGCTATATCATATTTTTTTAAACTTTTCAAGGAAAAAACTGTTGATCTCGACGTATCAATGACTTGAATATTAGCACAGTTAAAAAGTTGTTCATTATTCACTAGTGATGATAAATCGGAATTTATCAAACGAATACATTTACCTAAACAAAAAACGAAAATTAATTACGGATTTTAATGGTTCCAAACAGAGACCGTTACAAGACAAACTTTTTCGCCCTGCCCTACTTTGCTCTCTTCTGTCAGAAAACTACTGCTGGAGACAAAGACCACACACACATATATCAACAAACGCATAACTGAGAGAAAGAAATATGAATGCTGTTATCTACATCGTTCGCTCTCAAAATTTTTCATAAAAAGAAGCTTGAAAATCTCAAAAAAAACAATCTCTCACAGTGCAAATCAAGAAATTTATATTGCGCTGCCCTGCGACAGGGCAGGGCAAAAAAAAGTATTTCGCCCTGCTAGGCAGGACACGGTAAGGCAACAGAGCAGCCCTGCGATAGTCTCTGGTTCTAGATGGCGTACCATCATGAATTTCTAATAAAATTGGTAGATTTTTCTTTATGTGCTCATTTATATGATCAATCATAGTAAGCCACCAGTTTGATAGACATCGTGTTTGATTTGTAGATGGACAATAGTGACTAATATTTTGTCTAATATTTTGTCCTGTCGTTCAGAAGAATGTATACAAATAGTGCAGACAAATGATTACGTAAATAAGAGTTAAACTCAACGTTTTCTCGTACACTTTCCCGATTTGTTACCAGATGAAAATCGGCATTAATAATAAATTGGAAACCAAGATCACATACAGGTAATCCTACGTAAACTGTACTACACGGTGAAAAAATAACCGTCAAAAAAACCGTAAAAACCATAACCATCGAAAGAAAACCGTATAGAAGAACCATGAAGTAAAAAACTACCTTATGAAAACCGTAAAATGCAAAAGTATAAAACAAAAACTATGGAAGTAAAACCGTAAAGGTTAAAACCATAGAAACAAAACCGTCCACTTTCGAACCATCGAAGGAAAACCCTAAAATAAAACCGTC